CTCTGTCGTCCCTGGCCTGACCAGCTGCTGGTTTTACAGTTGGCCAACTGCTGTCAACAGCTTGCGGCAATTCTAAGTAGCTGTGGCTACCAGCCTCGCCCACAAAATCATCTTCTTTGCTGCCAGCCCCTAAGCTCCATTTTGCCCAACCCACTAGCCGCAGCTGGCATTACATTGTCTGACTGTTCAAATGTTGGCAGTAAGCTTGCTTGACTCGCATTGCTTATATCCTTGCACTGTGGAATTGTCTCTCTGCTGCTGTTGCATTCTTGTTGCATTTGGCTCTAATTTGCTCGCCTTGCAGCTGCTTTGGCTAAACATAATTTTGATTATTTCCATTGCTGGGCATTAACTCTTTAGGCGAGACTTTTTTTTTAATTTTCAAATTTTCTTTCACCAGTTTCCACTGTAGATAGATGATGATAATTATCATAATGATGCTGCTAGCTTGGGCAATTGACCTGACTGATTTGGCAGCCAACCAACAATGTGACCAAGTCTAGCGGAAGACAAAGAGAGGGAGAGAGAATGAGCAGAGCTTGGCAATAAGTTCACTGTGTCCATTAGTACAAATCTCAAGTGCAATTCGCCAAGATAAACACTGGAAATTTTGCCAAATTTTACATATGCACATTTGCACATGCATTGTGCGTATGTGTGTGTACATGTGTATGTATATGTGTGTGCCAGTAAATGCCTGGACATTTGCTTCAAATCGCTTTCATTAGCATTTCGCACACACTTGAAAACTTGACGCTTTAGCAAATTCATTCAAACACGGTTGCCCATTCTTTATGATGAATTTAAGAAATGCGCACGTAATCTACCGTTAAGCTGTGGGAAACCATAGCTTCAGCATTTCGCTCTTCTTTCACATTAATTTCATTCTCAATCTCTCTCTCGCTCTTTCCCTTAGCTCTTTTGTGTAAAATTGGCCATTACAAATTCGATTTACTTTGACAAAAAACTCACAGCTTGCCCATTCGCCAAGCATACATACACACACATACAGCGCGCAGTCAGCTGGCAGCGTTGCCAAAGGCAGCAAAAAAATGCATTGCCTACTTTTAGGAGGGCGCTTGATTCATGCGGAGAGGCAGCAGCCGAGACAGTGGCAGCGACGGCGGCAGCGACTGCGACTGCGGCAATGGCAGCAACAAAAGGCAGCTGCAATTTAATTACCGTTGCAAAGATACAGATACGCAGATGCCCATGCATCCAATTCCCAGCCAACAAAAAGCCAGCAACACCCAAACCCGCACACCCTGACCCCCACCCCCCAGCCCACAGCCCTTCCTCACACACACTCCACACACACACACCCCTCTGCCGTAGCATGCCATAGTTTTGAAATATAACCGTGCCAGGCAGCGTGCTTGGCCAATCGAGTGCCGTGTAGCGTTATTTGCTACCCTGTAATTAACACAAGTGAGGCATATTTGTTGAATGCAGCAAATTTGCTGTTTAATTCTCTTTGTTAACTCTTCGAATTGCTTTTTAACTGATTTCCTTAAAGGCACAATCGAAATTGTTTGTGCACTCATTTTTTGGTTATATTAGTTAAGCGCTTTGACTTGGCATATAAGCACAGTGCTTGCTACAGGCTATCTGCATGTCGTGCCAGAGCAAATGGCCATTATTTTTGCCGTTATATTTGCTGCTGCTCTTCCTTTATTGCCGCTGTTGTTGTTGTTGTTGTTGTTGTCATGATTATTGTGCAAATAAAAGGAAAATCGCATAAAAATTTTTTACTACGCCCGCGTTGTTGCCCCGGCAACACGTTGAGTGCTAACAAAAGATGCAACCGCTGGAGCACACCCACACCCACACACACACACCCACACACAGCCAACCACACGCCGACCTCCCAAACGCTGCTCACTTCGCACGCTTCGCTTAACTAATTAGAGTGTGTGAGCAAATGATGGGCGCGCTGTTGCTGCCACCGCTCTGCCCGCTGATGTTGCAGCTGCAACTGATGCTGCTGATGCTGCTGATGCTGCTTCTGTTGCTGGTGCTAATTCAGTGCGGCTTGCTGGCTTGGCTCGTCGTTCACTGGTGCGCTTGCAGCGCAGATTTAGCGTTTCGAATTGTGTTTGAATTATGTATAATTAAATTTCAACATTATTCACGTTTCGAGGCAAAATCACCAGCTGCACGAATGCTGCGCGAATGCTGCGGGCAAAATGACCGCTAAGCATCGCGTATCTACTGCAGTACAGCTTTTTTGGTTAACTGCATTCACAAGCCCCCAACACCCCCAACTCACACACATTATGTGGTGAAATGCAACAGCTTGGGACTCAAATATATAGCTGATAATATACCTGAATTCTTTAAATTATTGAAAAAGAAATATATTCGTTATTCCTTAAGCAGTAGACTTCCTAGATCGTAGATCACTTTCAGGCCCATTTCCCGCCCTTCGAAAACACATTTGAACTATCTCCAGTTATATTTGGTATAGATATTCGAAAGTTAATTTGAGCCGATTGAAGTCAACATATTCCGGCCATTTAAGCCCAGTGCGTGCTGTGAAGCTTGAAGCCGAAAAGTAAATAATCATTCACACAAACTTTGACCAGCATTTTAAAATGCAAGTGGGTTGGATTCAGCGGACAGTGTGAAACACGTCCCAAATGAATTAAATGAGCAAAGGTTTTTTAGAATGAATTTGAAGTCAACTACGAATGGAATTTCCCAAACACTGTCTTGGAAAAGTTGCACACCTTCAGCGTCAGGCAGATCAAATCAGATCAGTTTTATATATAAATGTATATATACTAAAGACTACCTTATATCAACTATGAGAGCACATACAGATTACATACAGGTCAGCTTGAGGCGGAGCTCCAGGATATCTACTAGTCGAGCTCTCTGCCTAGTTTGGTATTCATTTTGAAAACGAATTAATAAACATTTTTGCAGTAATTATTATATTAATTTTGATATCCCTGAGGCGCACCAATTGGACAGGACTCATAAAAGTAAATACATACTGCACACACACACACACACACACACACATATATATATACAACAGTAGTAACTGGACGTATGAATGTAAAGAATGTTTACAGTTTCAATCTCGTTGTGTGCGCTCGCTCATAAAGTAAATATCAATTACAGCACTGTCTCCCTCTCTCTCCCCCTCACTCTCCCTCGCGCTCATTACAAGCTCCGTTCGGTATCTCTTCCATTTTTTATGATTTTTGTCTTTGTGCTGTTTTGAGTTTGTTTGTTTGTGTGTTTGCTTGTTTTTTACCACATATCCATAACGGCAATTTATGGGCGCGGCGAAGGCGTGCCGCGGGCATATCAATTCTGCCGACACGCTTGGCTGCGCAAAGCGCTTAATGCAAATCGGCATAAAAGAACATAATAATCATTAACATTATTCTGTAAGCAACAAAGGACCGCAAGATTAAACAAAAAACAAAAACAGGAAAATGCGAAAATGCGAAAGTGCATATTAAATACTTGGCTCCAAAACTTAATCAAAGCAACATAATTGAATTGTTGCAATAAATGTAAGTCAAATAACCAATTTTTATAAATATACTTAAATAAAAACAAGTGTGAATATGCCTAAATAATATATAAATATTATTTATAGTACAATTCCAAACATGAGTCAATAGACGGAAGACAAAATTTGATGAAGACATTATTTTAATTTTAATTTGAATACTATTTAAATCAAATTAATAGAATTTCAATAAATATAAATTCATTAAAAACAAATATGTGCAAAATATAAATTAAATGGCCGACAGAATTTGTAAATGTTGCAATTATGTTTCAGAGAAAATATATATAAATATCAATTTAAATAGTAAGCAGTTTCAAATTTCTAAACTAAATTTGGTTTAAAAATTTATAGCATGACAAAATATTTCGAAAACAAATATAACTAAATATTTTAATGGAAAAAAAATGGATATTTATCAATGCATCAAATTAAAGTACATAGAAATATAATTTTAAATAATCTAAATAGTCCCAAAACTTAAATTGATTGAAATCATACTAAATATTTTGAAAAATAAAATCAAATATGGACATACTAAATGTCTATATTGAAAATAATAAGTAAAAAAATTAAGATGTCTAACTAAATTAAATTTAATAATATAAAAGATGACAATATATTTCCCAAAAAATTCAAAACAATATAAACAAAATGTTTACATTATAAAAAGTAGATTATTTGGCAAAAAGTGAGGCATTTATCGAGTGCGTAGAACAATTGGCGCCGTGTAGCGCAGATGAGAAATGTTTTATTTGTTTTTGGCATTTCTTGTTGTGCGTTGTTTGTTGAATTAATTAAAATTCAATAATAAAATTGTTGAATGCAAAGCTGAATTAATGCCGCGCGCGGAGATGGCCAGCAAAAGCGTGCGCAATGTTTAATAGCATAAATAAATAAAATGCGCACAAATGGTGCCCAATTGCCGTTTGTTTATAAATATAATTAATAAACATTTATTATGCGCATGTGACCCCCCCACACACACACACACACACACTCCTCTCGGACAAGTCGCACAACAAGGAAAAGTAAATTATTGAATTCCATATTTTATTTTAATCGTTGTTCATAATTTTACCGGCATAGAGTGCATAAAAATGTCGTTGAAGTTCAGATTTAGTGAAATTCAATTCAATTCAATTACATAAGCTCGTTAAAAAGTCTTTTGAATTACGACTGGAATTTTATCAATTACAAATGGCCATAAATACCTATAAAAAGGCATAAAGCAGAGTTGAACTCAAAGTACATAAAGAGCAAAAAAAAAAAAAAAAACATATTTTCATTACAAATTGATATTAAACGGATACAATATGATTACAAATGGTTCTTAAAAATTGACTCGAATATAAATACAAAAAGTTACAATAAGAATTATTGAAGAATTATTCAATTGAAAGTACAAATGTATGCGAATAAAAAGTAGGTCGTCTTTGCATCAAATAATTATGAATTGATTGACTGTAAATTGTACAAAATATTGGACTTTCAAATTGAAAAAAAAACGACCTATAAAAAGTTATGGCCAATCAGCTCGTACTGTATTAGTTCGGCAAATATTTCGGCAACGTGGATGAACTCCTCCATTTGCTGCTGGTACGCGGTCCAGCTCATGTTCCGCTGTGGATCCAATATGTTCTGTATCACCGGCCACTCGGACCAAATAGACTGCAAGTTGGCATTCGGTGGCAGCGGCAGCGAGAGGAGCTGCGGCTGCGGCTGCAGCGCGGGCACTGCCACAGCCACGGAACGCGGCAGGGTCATCGGCTCGGCGGCTGGCACAAGCGTTGGATTGGTTAATAATAGAATGATTGTCTTTAGCAGATCCCAAACTCTGACCAGCTCATCGAATCGTTGTTCGTACAGATGCAGTATGCTCTCCACCGTTGGCCAGTCCGTCCTAAAGGAGCCCAAGTCTATATTCGGCAGCGGCGCAGACTGTGGCTCTGGCTGTACCTGTGGCTGTGCCTGTTGCATTTGCTCGGCCATTTGCTCACGGATTGTCTCGATCACCTGATCGATTAGTTGCTCGGACATTGGCTCAAGCATTGCTTCAGTCATTGGCTCAATAATTGAGCCGGGCATTGATGCCGTCATATCCATATGCTCACCCAGGCCGTCAACATCTACATCCCCTTCCGATTCGTGGTCAGCCATTTGATTTGTGGAGTACAGCTGATTATCTTCGAGATCGCTTAGCGAGCTCAGATCGCCCAGTTCCTCTGGCTCGCTGGAAAGTGTGCTCGAAATGCTCATAATACTGAGCTCAGATCCGTCCTGCTCTGTATCCTCCCCAATATGCTCATCAAGCCTAATTGAACAACACACAAACACACACACACAGAGAGAGAGACAAGGCGTAAGTCCGCAAGTTGTGCACTTCGATACAGACGCTTACCCTTCCACAACAATTGCACGCACGCCGGCGTTGCCAGACTGCGCGCATATGCCGGCGGTGCACATGCGCGCTCCCGCGACCGTTTCGGGCTGCTGCTCGTCACGCAGTGCGGCCTGGCAGATCCTAATTACCATTGAGGATTGGCATGCTGTTAGAGGTATGGAGCAGTCAAGCGTTGGACACTTACGCGCAGAAATTGGACAAAACATTGCCTGGTGCACTCATAATGCAAACTACGATTTGAATTGATTGCAATTGTGAATTATTCCAGCTGTAGTCCTGGTGAAGGCTTTAATCGTCCCCTGTGCGGAAAATTTATGTTTTCTAGACTAAACCACAGCACGTGCACCATGCACTTTACAAATGCACAAGTGTTGTAGTACGAAGCGAGTTCCAAGCTTAAGTGCCATTTTACAACACTGCAGCGCAAGTGTTGCCAGGCCGGCAGAGAAAATATACACATGAGCAATAGGGCAAATGTAAAGTGAATGGAATGTTAAGTTACATTTAATAAACAGATAAATAGCTTTAAAATCATGCTCTTTAAAATTAAAATGTTATCGCCAAAAAAAAGTCCCATTTGTTGCGCTCTTGCTGTGTTGAACAATTTCCGAATATGACGCGCATTCTTAATCGAATTTGTAAGCTCCAGTGCAGAGTATATATCTTTAGGTAATCGAAATTGAATAAAAATATACATATACGAATATTCAGCTGCAACTGCGAGCTGGTCGGCTCGGCTGCGTGGGCGTATGTTAATATTTTCGTTTCTGTGTGGCGCACTGGCAAATAAACTGTAATTGTAAATAAACATAAATTGTAAAATTATTACCAATAGGCTACGCTTTATTTGCAACTTATTTATGCCAGTTTTTTGCGCTCCACAAACACATACACACACACACACACACACACACGTGTGTGACCACATAGATACGCACGCATAATGTATGCATGCGATATATGTATGTAAATATTGCTCAATATTTTTTATGCACACCGACAACAATATTGAGCGTGGGATTTCGCTGTAATAGATGCACCCAAAGGTATTCGCTGGCATGAAATGCGCAGTGCTCAAACTTTTCATTATTATTATTATTATTGACATTCAAATTATGTAGGCATCAAAGTTGTGACAGGGCATTTGTCGCATCAGCTTGATTACAAAAACAATGAATACCGATAATTACATTAGTATAAGTTGGTTAAATAAAGAGCTAAAGCTGCAAACTTTTGATTTTTGCATCATTTTCCTTGCAGCGCATACGAAATTCGGGAACAAAACTTTTATTATGGCAACGCATTCTTGTCAATCCTATTATATACATACATACATATATACATATGTATGTATGTATGTATATTTTTTATGTGCTGTCAGCGCTTGGCGGCCACGCCCCTGCAGTGGTGCCTGGCGTCCGCCCCGCAAGTCTGTTGACTGTTTTTCCATTTTGCAGTTGGTTTTTTTTTTGTTTATTTCCCCTTTTGCCACTTTAGCGGATATCATAAATTGGTTCGGCGAGCAGCATTTCCCATGTGGAAAATTGAAATGTGTTTTCCTGTAATGCGGCAAGGCAATAGGCTGGCCCAACTGGCCCAACTGGCCCGACTGGGCGGCTACCCTAACATATCATATTAGACTTGAGTCTGCGATCAAAACTCAAGCAACTGTTTGCGAGTTGGACACAAAATGCTGCCAACTGGAGCCGAGTGGGATGACAATTGCCGTCAATGCAGCGCGAATTTGTTAACGGAAGCGGATGTTGCCATTGGCTAATGGCCAAGTGACTGAGCAGCTGCGGGGAGAGAGAGGGAGAGACACACATTCCATTTGCAGGTGTGCAGGTGTACAGGTAGGTGTGTGTTGTTTTTGGAGGAAATCGTGTGGCAGCATTTTATTGCTGGCAACTGTTCAATTTAAAGAGCTTATTCCGTATATCATTGCGATAGTATTTCACTTGTGAACTGTTCGAAATGCAATTGAAAATGCAATATGCATAAATGTTTAATGGCAGCAGCGATACAACAGCAACAACAACAGCAACAACAACAAAACCAAATGGCAAATTTAATTAATTTTACAATGCGTCCTGGCACTTCTTGGATTGGGTCACTTTACACTCGCACCCACTAAATTGACATAATGACCAAATAATTTTCCAGTTCGCTGCGCCTTTATGGGCATGTGCACAGCACCCAGGGACTGGTAGAGGAGCGGGTGTGTGTGTGTGTGGAGAGGGGGGGGGGGCTATCAGGCTGACAGAGAGACAAATTTCAATTTTGCATTTGTTTGACAGGCGAGTCGCCATCGAGTCGCATTAAATGCAAATGTTCATTTTCAATTTGTAAATTTATTATAAATGTCAACATTAATTTGGCGCAAAAATCTCTATGCAGCAGGCCGAGTCCGGCGGGGCGGCGGTGCGACGGTGGGGCAGTTGCAGACCTCGGTGTGGCACATGACACGTGACCAAGCGCCAACGGCTGAGCAATTAATCAAGCGAATGATGCAACAGTGACCATGCCCGGCGCAAAGGTAATTTGGCACTTAAAAAGGGTAAACGCGACCCGAACCCCGAATATTCAGATTCTCAAATCCAAATCCCAGCCAAAACGAACCTTTTTCCAGAGCCCGTTGAGAGCTGCCGCCTAATGTGACGAGTCGTTGTCCCCGTTCGTCCCCAAGGATCGGGCTCTGCGGGTCAACTGCGACACAGGCCCATTTATCATGCGATTGACTAGATAATTGACTGAGCGTATAGTTTACCAAGGCACTAAGTTGCCGCATTTTTGTTTAATAGCCTGCGCCTCTGCACAACATCATTCATGTCCAAATTTGTCAGCCTGTGTCATTTGGAAGAGTTTTGTAATCGCTTGAGCAACTCTTCTGCATAGCTTGCTAAAGATTTTCTTCAAATTACTACAGTGAATGCTCGTAATGTGCAGTTGGAACAGTTGGACTGGACTGAGTCTGGGCTATATTCATTGTGAATTCTTATTTTTGAGTATTTTCTCATCAACTTCTCTTCTCAAATACTTTTGATGTTACAAAGCATATTTTTATACTTTCATTCTTTGTTTAAATTAAAATCAAATATTAAATATATTTTGAAATTTTTCCTCCCGTGAATTAATTTTTTAATATTGTTCTCATTGTCTGTCAAATATGTCATTTATAAAAAAGTGATACATAATTTCCAGCAAATGAAATTCCCTTTGAAAATGAAGTCTAAATTTGTATGAATTCAACACGAAACTCTATGACACGCATGCTGGATATTTGATAGCAATAAAGAATAATAAAGTTAATAATAATCAAAAATATTGTTGGGTTAACATGTTGCTTAACTTTTGCTATGCCCTTTGAAAATAAAATTCAGAAAAACGAATAAGACACCTTTTTGTCAAGATAGACGTTCATAATTTCTAACTAAACTAAAATAATAATTAAAATTACGATCGTTTTTTGGATTTAGGGAGCAGATTCCTATTTTTATAAGATTTTAATAAATAGATAAGGCACAAAAACACCCAGACCTAAGGCCAATTCAAAAATCGAATGCCTATAAGATATGTTTACTTTGAATTTTATTTATATTTTTCAATCTCCTATAATCCGATTATATAAAAGACAATGTTGCATGTGCTTTTTAAGTCGCATCGCACTCAACTTCAGCCTGTGCTCAACAGGACCCAAGCACGAGTTTTCAAACCAAAACACGAGCACTTTCTGTCGCGTGGCTAATCACGCGCACATCTCTAACGCTTGCCACAGGTCTCAGCTGCCGGACTACACGACTAAATACGTCACACTCTATTCAGAATTTGCCGTTATGTTTGCTGTGTGTGGGTGGGGTCATAAATTGCCTGTAAAAGGGAAAACTAGAAAATGGAAAAGCCATAGTCAAAAGTCAGCAGCCGAAAATATTGCAGCCGGAGTATTAGACAAAGCGCGACACTATATAAAAATATTATTGATTGCTGCATCGGGGGAGGGGCAGGGGGCAGGGGGCAGGGGGCGGGGTTCGGTTGGTGTCAACAGGCGAGGGCACACAGCAAATGGAGACGCCTATTAGTAAACAGCGGGCGGTGCTGCGGCGGGACGTTGGACAAACGCATGCTATAAAGCCATAAACGCCAAGCCATAAATTATGCTAGCCACACGCAGGGACTCCACTGAGGTACAACTGGTGGAGGGGAGGGGGGGAGTGAGACAGAGAGAGAGAGAGCGGGGCGTAGGGGAGTGCGGTACGCTTGTGTGACATGTGTGAAAATGCACTTTGCTGTCACTTGACTGTTTGGCCATTGCCTGCTGACAGTCAGTCGGTGATGGCAGCGTGGGCGGAGCAGCAGCTGTGGAATCAGAGACCACCCCCCTTCACCCATAACCTTGCGCTCTACGAGTTGCGATGAAATTTATTTATTTTCGCGTTTGTCGCCCGTTTGTCCTTTTGGGACCGCCCCCCCCTCCAACCCGACCGGGACGAAATTGCAGAGGCAGGGCTTAAGTTATGTAGATGGCAAACGCTGCTGCATGGCGATGAGCACGACAAGAGATTACTGTATTGCCGGCAGCTGGAAAAATCGGAAAAACTGTTATACTTTACGTTTAATCCAAAGAGTGTGTGTACACAAATAAAAGTACGTATGTGCGTATGGGATACTAAGATCTCGACATGGGTAATTCTGTCGGTCTGGCAACACCGCTGATAGGCTTATCGAACTTTTGTATCGATATATTGCATTGATTTTGAAATTTACCAATTTGAATATTATCTTTAGCCGCCCTTGTTATAGACATTATATAAACTGATGGCCGTGTTGCCTTGTGCTACAAACGCGATTTAACCGTTCCAATAAGAAAATGGCAAGAAAAGCATCAAAAAGGGGTTTCCTATTGGACACACTTATAAAGTAAGGAATGCATTATCCAGCTCAGCTGCTGCTTTCCGAATCATCATTGCCATTTTCAGATTCTTATTTGAACTTAATACATAAATCGGCATCGATATCTTTCTCAAGCCTTATCGATAACTTTTGTTTGAGATACTTCGATTAATTTTTCTAGATTGTTTTAAGTGGAATAAGATATAATAAAATTTAATTAAAATTTATTTCAGGCATTACTTATGTTGTATTTATAATTAAAATGTTTTTTAATTTTGATTTAGAGCTTTCTGTTTGTTGTTGCTTATGTGTCAAACCTCTGGTTGAAGAAATGCCAACACGTACTGCTGCTGCTGCTGTTGCTGCATGGGGCATGGGGCATGCAACATCTTATATTATCTGCTCTGTGAGTCATTTGGAGTTCAAGTTTCTGGCCGGCTTTGGGTGGCGCTCGGACCTGATGTGATAGAGTGCCGCGACACTGAGTAATCTATTTTGAGTCCGGGCGTGTGACACACACACACACACACACACACACACAAGCGGAGCACTCACTAATAGTGGCATATAAACTCGCACGTTTTGTGCCACGTTTCTGGCTTCGTGTTCGGGTTGTCTGTTTGGCGTGCGGGCGGCGAGGGGTTTGCGTTTGCGTTTGCTTTTGGGCTTCGCTTTGTTTTTGGCGTTTTAACAACACGGCCAGCATAACAATGTCGCCCAACAACAAAAACAAGCAGAAGAATCGCAGGAGCAACAACAGGCAACGAAAAATTGCAAGTGGACACATGAATTATGTGCAGCACTCGAGTTAAACAACCGCCGGGCGCGTTAGCCAGCTCCCAGCTCCTGGCACTCAGCTCTCTGTTTTTAGCTTTTAGCTTCCAGTTCAGTTCGCAGCGCCCACCAGGCCCCACGGCACCAGCAGCGGCGGCGGCAGCGTCAGGCAAACAAAGAACGACGACGCGTCGTCGACGGCTTCCTACTAAATGCACAAGTACTTGGCAGTTCTTTTTCGCTCTTGTTGTTGTTACGACGCTTTTTTATACACTCACATGCCCGTTTTTGTTGGCTGCCCATTGGGGACGCGTTAGTGGTCCGTGGCCGGGTGCCCGGCGCAAACGCCGGATGCGGGCTGACGACTGAGGACAGCGAGAGCTCTGCGCGCGTGTGTGTGTGTGTGTTTGTGCACTGTGGATAAGTGTGGGAGGCCAGCGTTGACTTTGCTTGGCTTTGGCATGTTTTGGAGGTCACACAACATGCGAGTGCCATACACACACACACACACATGTGCTCACAGTGAGAAGCAACTGCCATTTGGGAGTTGGCTTTGCGGGTATTAAATTATACATCATTTTGCAACAAATGATGGTCGTTACGTTCGCAACCGACAGACACCCACCCAGAGAGGCAGCCAGAACACCCAACTTCCAACTCTCAACACCCACAGGCACATCCGCATGGCTCATGTCTCATGTGGCAAACGCATGGAACTAGCAATTGTTTATACTCTGCCAAAGGCGACCTTATTGTTTTGTCGTTAGCTTTGCGGCTTGCATGTCTGCAAAGAATTTTAAAAGTATTTACTCAAGCGATTTTATTGCTGCTCTCGCTGTGTTCACTTGCTCAGTTTGTTTTTCACAACTTTTCCATTTCCACAGAATCTTGCTGCACTCCACATACATATGTATGTATGTGTTCGTGTGGCGTCACAACGCGCTGCGCAATCGCGCTGTGCTGTGCGTCGAGGCTGCCAGATCGCTCATTTTGAATTGAACATTGTTCGTCGCTCTTTACAACACTTTGCAACACTTGTGTTTGTTTAAGGTGCTGCTTTGGCTAACTTCATTAGCCAATATTATACAAAACTAGTTTTTCTTACTAAAAACCTTTGCATGGAAGTTAAATGAAACTTAACTTAAGCTTTTTTTTATAAGAAATATGATTTGCTTAAAACAAGAGCCACAATATTAGCTATAATTAAATATCTAAGTTGAGCTTTCGCTTATTTTGCCTTGGCAAGGGCATTTCAGCAGTCGACTGTCGCCTGACCCAGCTCTTCTATATCCTTTCCGGCTGCGCTTCATGCGGCTCTCTGAATCAGAGTTCTCGCCAGACAGTTAATAAAAATCAGTGGCTATCGCTTTATTATTTTTAGAGCACATGCTCTAAATGATTTAAGTTTTTCTGCAGCCGAGGCAGGCATATAATCGATCTTAATTACGCGCGTGCATGTGTGCGTGTGAGCGTGTGCGTGTGTGTGTGTGTGTGTATGAGTGTGTGTGTGCCGCACTTCCTGCCACCGATTAAAGCGCCGTGTTGTTGCCCCCATGCCACATCCCGTTGCGCATTTCTTGGCGCTGCTTACGCATTGATTGCTGTCGATTGCAATCGCTTAAACGACACTCACTCACACACGTACACTCACACTCGTTCACACACACACACGTGCTGTTTTAATTATGAGCCAAACTGGCAAAATAGCAAGAAAATTAATAACAATTTGTTACGATTACGAGCAACGGCAACGCCGCTGATTAATTTATGCGACTGCAACTTTTGCCATCGACATCGACATCGCCCTCGGCAGCATCGTTTCCGTTTCGTTTCGTTCCGTTTCGTTCCGCCGCCATCTTGTTCCCTCCGCTTGTCATTGCTTGATTTATGGGCGCTTAATCGCCGTCACCTCGTTGCATTGTCATCAGACGCCCGCTGGCGGTCTCTGCGACACCTACACACCTACACACACACGCACACACACACACATACACGCGCACGCTGCGTTAGTGCTGTTTTTACAAATTTAATTAAAATGGCTGCCAAGGCTGACGCCGTCGTCGACGCCATTGAGGATTGACATAACTAATTTGCCATATTGTGTATCGCTCATAGTCGGATTTACCTTTGGACTGGATTTGATTACGCCGTGGCTAGAAGGTTAACGTGCGCTCAATTAAAACTTGGCTTCTTTGACTAATGAGTGCACAGTGAATGCACTCAATATGGCCATGTGCATATTAATTTTCATCTAATATGCATTTCGAGCATTCGAACATGTATA